GTGTCTTCTTGATAAGATATCAATAAGTCATCATTATCTTCTGGTATTGGAATATAAGACACTGTGGTGCTTTTTATCACTTGTATTTGAATATATATCAATATCACAATAGTTATGACGTAAAATATTACCGATAAAAACCACACTGGTAGAGGGTATAAAGGTGGCATGTAGTGGGAGTACAGAAAAGTATACAGAGAATCTGCCGCAAATGGTAACAGTGTCTCTAGAGCCATAGCCACAGAAAAAACCTTCCCTGTTGAAATAAGTACATTTTTTAAATATATTATTTACAAGATTAATGTAAGTATTTCAGGATACCATTAGAGATTGTACACAGAGTAAAATATTTTTACTCTGTGTACAATCTCTGGCATGAATCTACCCAGTAAACAGCAATAAACAGTAACATAAACGTTAATTATAATTTCCCACTTAACAACCATTATGTGTTATATAATTATTATATATTATAGTACAGTTATATTATTAAATAGAAAATTATACTAATAGTTATGTTAGTTGCTGCTTGATGGATAAGTTTTCTTTCTTTTTATAGTTCATTTTATAATCATTTATTAAAATCAAAATACAAGGTTTTACCTGCATCCTGCACAGGTACTGCCTTGGATAATATAGCGCGTATCATCGGTCGAGATATGTCACCAAACATTCCTAGAATCATTGATAAATACATATGCCAAGACAACCATGTAAAGGCATGTACCAAGGCACTACCAAAAGACGATATAATAGATACCATAGCAATTACAGTCTCTGGAAATCCTAAATCATTCAAAATACTTAATAAATTCTTAATAAATTATTACAATAAGTAACGAATTGTGTTAAAATGTTGTTAAAACGAACCTACATATTTCCGCATTACTTTGATACCAAATATCGTACCAAGTACTTGCACTACAATATCTACAGCATTATAAACAGAATACTGTTCTATGGTCCAGCCAAGCCGCGCGCTTACGAACAGATATCCGATAGCGAGAGAGCCTTCAAAAACAATCAAGAGAAGTGTAAGACAAGCTACACAGCTCCAGACTAACGATCTATTGAATCCGTTTCTCCTCTTAACACACGTAATAATAAGATCTTTTATTAACGTTAAGTCAAATACATTGCAGATACCCTGTAAAGATAAACAAAAGCGATGATTACTCGCTATTCATTTGAAATAATCATTATAATTCATCTTCTAATAATCTAGTCTCTAATTGTAAGTTGGGTTGTGCGTCTACTTCTTTCAAATTGACTTGACTTATGCTTGTTTCTACCAATGTAGTTTAACTTTAATCTCGGTTCAACTAACTCTTCATCTTTTTCTAGTTTTAAGAATAAGAAAAAGATGAAGAGTAAGTTGAGATTAAAGTTAAACTACTGATAGAAATAAATATTAATGAACGCTTTGAAACACCTACGGAAGTTTGACTCTGTACAGTTTCCGGGACAAAAAGTAATATGTACAATGTTGCCAGAATGCAGAGCACAGTCGCAACACTGAATACAGCAGTGTAACCGCATGCGGCAAATATCGCTGGACCAGAAAGTAATCCAATTAATAGACCGAGAGAGATCAACGCTTGTAAAAAGGCTAAATGCCATGCCCGCTCTTTATCGTCTGTTACATCAGTGATGTAACACGTTGAAGCTAATATCAATACGCTTAGGCCACCAAAGAGAGCAACAGGAATATAGGCTATCAGGAAATACCAAGGTACAATATCCCAATTAGCCATTATAGAGAGTAGTATATAAGTTAAAGATATACCTAGAATTACGAAAACTGTGAACAATTCTATTATATTTCCTAAAAACATCATGTATATTTTCTTATCTATTACCATCTATTATAACAATTAATTATTATAATTCAATATACAATTGAAACAATAAAATTGAAGAGCTCTAGGTATCGATCATGTAACTTTTTCTCTAAAGTGGAAAAATGTAAAAGTTTTTATATATACAGGGTGTTCCGAAATTTTTTGCTAAGCGCTCTTGTGTAAATAGAGCAGACTAAACTGAGTCGAAAAGTCCTCTATCATTTTGCAATTTTTGCAATAGTTAACAAAAAATTGATTACTACAAATTGCCAAATATTGATCCTCAATAATTTTTTTCTTAAATACTATCAACTTTATAGAAAAACTGCAAGAGACAAAAATTGTTTATTTTTTTCTTATTTTCTTCTCATAGAACTCTAAGAATTTTTTCAGAATTTTTTATCAACTTTTTAGTACTGCATTTTCTTATTTTTATTATCATGAGAAAATACGGTATTAAAAAATTCTGAAAAAATTCTCAGAACTTTATGAGAAGAAAATAAACAATTTTTGTCTCTTGCTGTTTTTCTGTAAAGTTGATAGTATTTGAGTAAAAAATTATTGAATATTCAACGACTTTTAGTAATTAATATCTTGTTAACTATTGCGAAAATTATAAAATGGTAGAGGACTTTTCGACTCAATTTAGTCCGTTCTATCTACACAAAAGCGCTTGTAAAAAAATTTCGGGACACCCTGTATATATATGAACATATACACACATAAATACAGAAAATGTTCACCTTTTATGTTTCGGCCCTAGGAAAAAAGTTATATAATTGACCCCCTGAATCAAGTTGAGTTTTAATGCTAGTTAAGTAATAATATTACATTATAAAGGAGTCATATTAATGATACTTCCAATTATATCTGACAATATGTCACGTTTTATATTTTTTATCAGATTACATTAAATTTTATATCATTGTAAATAATTTTATTTTATATCAATTTTATTATATTTTATTATTTTATATCAATTTTATTATATCATTGTAAATAATTTTCCATTGATGACTTCTTTATAATTTTAAAGTTATTACTTAATTAGCATTAAATCCCAGCTTAGTTCAAAGCCCTTTAATTCAAAAGTTCGAATTTTAATTTCTCTATTGAGACTTTATTTCTACATTAATTTAATTTCAATATTAATATAATACTTATAAAAACAATATATGAAAAGCTTCTCTTATGATTCTCTTTTACAATGATATTCAAAAGTATGATTACACAACTATCTGAACTTTAATGATCTCTAAGTTAGATCCTTAGTGCTTAAATAAAAATATGATTACTTATATATCCGGAAAGCATAACAGGTTTTCTTCCATACTTATCACTCCACGGACCCAGAAATAACATTAGGAGTGATGGAGTAATGCTTTCTATGAAGGATTTACCCATCAAAATGTTGCTCACGTGCGGTTGGACCAAACAATTAATTTTGAGCGCCTCCTTGCTAGTGCTATTGTTACGGAGTATAAGGCACTCCGTTTCGTTTAATTTCAACGTTGAAAGACATGTACGATACACTAGCAAATCTGTGAAAATAGTACCTGCAAAAAAATATGCCCATATAACTGTTGTACTAAGATGAAAAATTATGATTTGTTACCTGACATCGACAAAGAGATCAATAGTAGTACTAGGGGCGGTTGCACGAGTAAATAACGTCTCCATTTTCGTACAATTCGATCCATAATCTTCTCTAATGTTCATCAAAAACTGCAGAATATATACTCTCTAGGCGGTAAACACGAATGCCTGATAAAACGGTCTGCAAGCGGATTTGATTCTAAAGTCGCTTTATTTGATGTAATAATTAGGAACGGCTGATAAGCAACTGTGATACATTCATTATCAGCCTCTGTTGTCTCTTGTCCGAATCGTTTCCTTTGTTGAAATATTATTCGTATATGTACATAACTTTATATTCATATGTATGTGTGCATACCTGTGTGTATACCATATACTATTTTTGTCATTCTCCAGACGTAATTACTGCAGGCCACGAAATGTAATTGCAATCAGCTGATATTTTTTTCCGATTGGCACACAAGCGATCCATATATAGCATGATTTATATTTTTTCAAATTACAGCAAATTATTGTGCAACGTACGTTTTTTTTTTATTGTAGAATGTAGAACATGTATGAGGAAAGATCGCGCGTTTGACAAGTCCAGTAAATCAGCTGATCCATAATTTGACAATACTTCAGCGGAGACTCGAACCATTCTAATCTCGGTTGCATGAGTCTGTTGGTAATGCAGTTGGAATGCAATCTTGAAGATTTCTGCATTACCAACATCAGTTATAACATTCTTAACGGTCCTACATTACCAACAGTGCTTATAATAGCTTGGACAATTTCTACATTACCAACCTCAATAGAAATTACTGTACTGGGGGTTGATTGTGTATCTCGAAATGAGGTGAAAATTACAAAAGTGAGCAAATTCACTAGAATTCATAATTTAATTGGTCAATAATCAGTGAATTTGCTCATTTTTGTAATTTTCACTTCATTTCAAGATACACAATCGACTTCTTGGGTTCACACTGCAACCTGCGTACAATATCCGAAATATTTTGAAATTTTTCGACGTACACGTGTCCAATGATGAGATTTCGGCGGCGGCGATATTCAATAATAGAAGAATTCAGTTGTCTCCATTAGCAAAATAATTCATTAATTTTGTTAATTTGTCATAATTTATTTGCGTAACTATAAAATTTTAAAACTCAATATAATTAATCTTTTCTAACATCTTTACTGAAATGAAAATAAAATGTCCAGTATGATTCGAATAACATTTAAGATGAATGCCACATTCAAAACTAACTTTAAACTTTCTTATATTTATAAATTACAAAATATATGGCACATGCAATGAAAAAGAAAAAGAAAATATTGAAAAAAATGCCTACCGAGCGATTTGTTTTTGTTTCATAATAAAAGAATCAGTAATTGCTTTTTTCCAACAATATTTTATACCATTTTGTAAGAGATACGAACTTCCATATCTCAGTTAATTTATTCCAATTCTAATTATTAATTTAGACTACTCCTCCCCCTGCACTCATGATGAATCTGGGATAATGCGCGATTTATATTTCCAGGGAATGGAATAATAAAAGTACAAATATTAGCATAAAAATATGAGTATTTATGTGGTATATTAACAATATACAGAGAGAGTTTATAAGTACAAACGCCGAGATAGTTCTTACATCTAATCCCACTCTCCAATATACATAGCACGCGGGGTCGGAGGTATCACGCCTCTCGTCGGGATCGGTAACCTTCCGTATATGTGATTATACGGCGACTCATTCCTATTGTCCGAATCTGGAATCATAGCAGCAATTATTACTAATAAACGTGATTATAAAACAACTTATTAATATAAAGCAGCTATTATCACTGTTATTATTTCTATTCCCTCTTCATAAAAAATTTATTTAGAAATAAACCATAAAAAGATAGGTAAAAAATGAATCTAGAGTAATAAAAGATAATAATAAAATAATAAAAAGCAACCAAGAAAAAATCTAAGTATATATTAATCTGAAATAACAAATTAATTAGATGGAGTCTATATTACGTGATGTTATTTGTACCGAACTAATTTACGTATCTAATAACGCAATTATTTTTAGATAAGTGAAAAATGATAATCACTTAATTATTTCTTACCAAGCCCGCTTTCGAAGCTTCTGGCATGATACATAATGGGCGGTCGATGGGCCGGTAGATGCCCATATATCTGGGAAGATTGACTACTAGCGTAAGCGGCGCCTACATAAGACGGCGCCGGCTGTGTCCTGGGATGTCCTCGAGGCGGAGGAGGACCCACCTTGCTGTGACCATTTCTTGCCATTTTGACGAAATTGGGCACGCGTGCCCGTAAACCGCAATAATATGGATCGTCTGAAATACATAAATAGTCAATTTATGCGAGATATGTTTAAAAAATGAAATGTACATTAAAATAGAATACAATTGATCTTTTAAAATATAACATAATATGTTATAAAAAAAATACATATTATGAATATATATTATTAAAAATACATATTATGAATAATACATATAAAAATAATACATATACATATTATAATACATATTATTAAAAATACATATTATGTATTCCTCACCGTATTTTTTCTTATCGTCGTGTTTACTTCGCTTCTCCTCCATCATGTGGTGCTTCATCGTCCTACCGTAGTCGTCCTCTATATCGTCGTAATCAGGCTGAAATAATAGTTAAAATAGAAGATTTTTTTCAACTAAATAGCATAAGGGCTATGGAAAACAAGAAAAACTTAAACAAAATTTTTAAAAAATTGGTCAGTCATAGTAGAGATCATAATGTAAGAGGCAGTAAATCCAACATGTTGATTTCTTTACTCTTACATCAGTGCTGAAATTTACTTCCCTGATAGCAAAATATTAGCAATTTGGGGCCAAATTGGCAGCAAACTCCATCAGATTTTGACTACAAAACCATAGATCTGTGTCCGTATTTGGCTATGGATTTGTCGATAAAGCCTGTTGACAGGCTATGCTAGCAGATTGGTGGCAGAAACCGAGCAGAGTCTGTTCGAATCAGGTTCTGCTCTCAATCTGCCGTCAGGTTATGCAAGACTTTGCTCGGTTTCTGCTACCAATCTGCTGGTATAGCATGTCTAGCAGGCTTTGTTATATTTCTAGCAATAATTTACTGACAATGTCAGATAATACAAATTCTGTATATAATTTGATGCCTTTCTGCAATCAAAAATTGGTAGCAGACTCTGTTCAAAATCTGTCTCTGCAGGCTTTGCTATCAGGATTGTAATTTTCAGCTGATTTTCAGCTTAATTCCCGTCTCTTACCTCATCAATCCGCGCGCAGTCTAAATGCCGATCGGCATTGCAAGTAAATTTGTTGCAAGTAAATTCCAGCACTGGCTTATATCCTACTTAGTTTTTCTCAAATTTTTCTGTGCGCCAAGGCCCTAATAACCTAATCGTTTTTAATGTTTTACCTTGGGGATGCCGTGACCATAGAGATTTTCTCGAGGCGGCAATTTCGGCGGTCTCTCTGCACGCCGATGCTGGTAACTCGTTGACTGCATGTAGATTTGCTCCCGCGAGTCTCTATCTGTCGACATTATTTCGCTAGGACCTACGGACGATGACACACCGGCCACGCTATAGGGATCTTCGTCAGGAATTGGTATTCTAGGTCTATTCTTTATATCCACCGGCCTCTGTAATGCTAGAACTAAAAGAAGATACAACAGAGATAATAAAAATTATTATTTGAAAGCGATAATACGAGCATTATTCTAATTCCCTTTTGACAAAAAAGCGTTAATATCCAACTCTGAATGAACTGAAAAGAAGTCATAATTAAATCATATAGGTCATCAACATGATTCATTTGATACTTAAAAATAAACTTATAATCCAAGTAACAAGCTAACATTATTTGTCGACAAAATGACGACAAATAGCATCAGTTTTTTACTTAAATAAGTGACAAATAAGAGCATGAAGATTCCAAGTAGACACAGAAGTCATGAGGACATCATGACCTCATTCGTCACTTAAGTCAATTTTTAGGTATCAAATGACGTCATGATGACGTCCTGTGCTACCATTATGACTTAATTATTACTCCGTGTTCTACTTGAGAATCTATAGTCCAGAAAAAAATAGATAAATATTATAGAAACGGGTTAATGCGCGAAATTAGTACACTTTATTGTGCCGTTAGATAATAAAATAAATATTTTATAATTAAAAATATTTGCATTTCACTTTTACACTCAGATTAAACCAATGCACAGCCTAAGTAGAACACAGAAGTCGATCATAGTAATATCACATAAAGACATCATCATGACCTTATTTGTCACTTATAGTTCATTTTTAAGTATCAAATGACGTCATGATGACGTCCTATGATATCATTATGACTTTATTATGACAGTGTTCTACCTAGGAACGGCTTTAATATGTACGAGTACATACTAGCGTTTTATAACGAATTCGCTATAATTAGATAAACCTCAAATATTGTTCGCAAACCGTATATAGAAATTCTATATAGCGTTTAATGTATGTCACACGCTTTCCAGCAGCATACCTGGTGGGAGCTTCGACTTGAGCATGTCCAATCCTACCACGTTGACGATGAGCACCCATACGGGGCACTGAAGCAAGTCGGCTTCCGTTCTCACGAATATGATAGCGCTCAGGCATTGCATCTCCAATCGTCGTCTATCCGGATAAGCCCTTCGTGTCTCTCGCGACAGATTCGTTTGGAATTTATTCATGTCGAACAGCTGAAATGAAGTCGGTAACGTTCAACGTTCGGTGTTTCACGATATTAAGGAGAAAGCTAACGGTTGCGTCACCAAGCTATGGCATCAATCGGCTTCCCGACAGCGAGGGATACGCGTAATAAAAACGTATTATCGACGAAGGAGTAAACTAATAAATGGACATGAACAGGAATTCTTTAGTCAGGAAGAACAACCGCGGATCATGTTAAGCGGCGGAACATTTCGCTCTCCTTTCATACCGAGTGCGTGGCGTATGATTTCCTGACGATAAAGAGATTTAAACGCCTCTTATTATACGGTTCGGTTGCTTGTAGTTTTAATTAGAAAGGCGATGCGGTTTCTCTATCGACATGCATTCACACAATCGTGATAAAGCCAATACATGCCGATCTCCTCGCGTGCAATGTGTACGCAGTGGCGAGGGAAAACTTTTTATTGTTATTATTTTTTTTAATTGCAAGAAGTAGACAAGAATAACTGAGATCCCCTCCCCCCTATCGCGCAATTGACCCATTTTGATGCTTTCGCCGATAAATGTTTCCAACGCGGACGATTATTAAGAAACCGCGAAACATTAACGTCGACCCACCTTTCCGGGTTTCTCGTGCTCGAGCGCACCCTGCGAATTACGTATGATCTCTGGACCGATCGCATTGTCCTCCTGATTCGTTGATTTCACATACACGTTATTTTTACATAATCTCTTGATGAGAATATTGCCCTGCTCATCCATCTTTATTTTAACTCCTTGGTTTATATGACGCTTAGCCTCCTCCGTTTTCGAGTCTCTCATAGGATTATCAAATCCGCAAAGCCCTATTCTGTAAATCAATTTTCCGAGATGTATAATAATGCTAAATATTATACAACTTACGTAATATATTTATATAAGTTATAATACTTCGCTTCACAAAAAAAACTTTTTAAAAAATATCTACATTTGTGTAACTTTATAGCCCTTAGTACAGATAATTAAACAAGAGATTAAGTGAAAATTGAATTAATTACATACATATATCTCTCAATATAAAACATCGTAGGCATTTTTATTAGACAATTATATTTCAACAAAAAGATTGAAATAAATCAGTAAAATTTAAATAATCTATATATTTACATAGGATTTTTTTCATCTTGCAATTAGTATCTAGATTCATCAAATATTGATATACGATTAAAAAGCACTCGATACTACATTTTACAAAATTACGAAAATTCTTAGTGGGACGCTAGATAAATAATTGTATCTCAAATCCAAATTGTGTGTACCTGAATCCGTCGAATCCGTCATTCGAGCCGTTTATCGTGAGGACAGGTGCTCTGGCATACGCTTTCGCAACCCGTCTGTTCCTCTCAAAAACAATAACTTTCGCCCAAATTTCGTCATCTATCTGATTCCATTTATCTAAGACCTCTTGTATGTGATCCTGCAAGTACAAAACAGACGAAAGATGAGCTAATATAATTCGGATGAATCATTACTTTGCACATCAATGCTAATATATTAACAACTTTTGTTTACATTCAGTTACTTTGTTTAAACAAGAAACTGCAGTGAAAAAAATTACCTTACAAATCTTAATACATATTTCTTTCGAATAGCAATAAGTAAACATTTACTTACCGTAAATAAATATTTAGTCAATAAAAAAATTAATGGTTTTTTTTATTAAATAAATATATATTTACATTTAATAAATATTTACTTAGAATTAGTCAAACAAATATTTATTAAAAATTTTTTCATTGTAATCGTATGTGAATTATATTGTATATGAAATATATATATATGTATAAATAAAATATTAATATACATATATATCTACACACACATCTAAATAACGATATACATAATATCGATAAAATTTATAAGTAATAAATAAAGATTACCTTGTACAATTTATCCAAGTTATACCACACGTCTTCTTCATCTTGTTCCTCGTACTGCGACTCCACAAGATTATCTCGCGAACGCGAAAGTATTTTCCGCCTCGATACCATTTTGCGTTCCGATAGTCAATCTGAAAGCAGAGAAAAGAAAAAAAACGATCCTCACCATGTAATCTCTCTCTTAATCTCTCTTTGCGTTGAACGTTCGAGCATCCCCGTGGAATTTTCTCATTCGTAAAGAAGAGAAAACTTTTATTTCAATTTATGTTAAAGGATCCGAAGAAAATTTGTCGGAGATTTGTTGTTAGATTTAAGAGTCATCAATTATGCGCTTATCGAAGCTTATTCTCGCTTCTCTGAATACGAATATATATAGAAATAATTCTCTCATTTGCAGAGAGAAAGAGAGAGATATTATCAATCTTGCACGTTTTATCTCCCGCAGCCATTAACTTATGAGTCGTTTACAGTTTAAAAGTCGAAGGGATGATCGGGAACTTTAGCATCACTTCTAAAGCAGTCAGATACGAACGAAAGGAAAAGACTATTCGATAAATGTATATATACCTTGTTTCCTATTTCTCTCTCTCTCTCTCTCTCTCTCTCTCTCTCTCTCTCTCTCTCTCTCTCTCTCTCTCTAGTACTAATTTTCTTTAATTTGGTATTTATTATAATATTTTGTATTCCATTATTTTATTTTATTTTATGCTAAATACTTAAATTTGTACACATATTGTTTCCTTTTTTGTTTCATTTTGTTAATTAATTTTCTTTAATTTTTGTTTTCAATTTTCTCTGCTCTTTATATCATTTTTGCTTCAATTTTTTCTTAGAGAGCATAGACTTAAAACGGTAATAAACGCTCTCTTTCTCTCTCTTTCTTCTTCTCATTAGCTGTATTCAGAAGAGAAAAACTAATCAATAGTGATTCTTTAATATGATTGGCTCTTGCCTTTAATCCTTCGCTGAATCTTAAGTGTAGGAACCAATCATATTAAAGAATCACTAGGTGCTAATTGATTTTCCTTACGGTGCGACTAATGCTTTAAGTAGCGAGAGCGATAAAAAAAAGAAAAAGGAAGGAATCGCCGCTACGATTTACGGGACACGTTCGATGGGGCAAGTGTACCCGTACGATAGAACTTGTATCCGGCTTCGTGACGTGACGTCATTCCAGCTGATCTTCGGCATCACGTCACGTTATTCTTCTCAGTGTTGAAATCTCTTCGGTCTCTGATGAATAATAGAAATTTTTTCACCACGATTTATGTGGTACATTTTACAAAGAAAAGGTATATACAACGTTGAAAATTATGCGGATCTAAGAAACGCACCAAATGAGGAGAAAGTGACTATTTAAAATGACTTTATTTAAAATTTGACTGTATTGACGTTAAGAATCAAAATAAAGTCATTTTGATTTTTTTGTTGACTGTACTTCTGGATAAGATTGATTATTTATTTCTTGTGAACTGAATTATAATTTGATAACTGATTACTCTTATAAGAAAAATTTTCATCATTTCAAATTACGAGTTTATACAAGCCGTTTTAAAAAAAATAATTACCTTCGCGATTTTTTTATCACGAGCTGACATTATTTTAACGTATAATTTAACGCTCAATACTAGAAATGAAGTCGAGGGGAAATGAGAAACGAGACGGAAACAAGATGTCTCTAAATAAAAAAGAACCACGTAGAGTCGAGAGATCGCGTGCGGAACACACTGTATACTCAATCTGACCTGATTAATTTCGAAGATTGCATCGTCGTGTCTAAAACAACAAAAAGAAAAGTGTAAAAGCGAGGAAATAGGTTAAGGAAATTGCCCCGCCCTAGAATGCAAAAAATTATGCGAAAGCGGACGAATCAGATTCAATGGGGCGATAGCGCAGGTGGAGTACGGTTGATTTACGATGAGCTTCGAGCATCGTGAAAGTGTTGTTATTAAACGTATCGCTTGGCTACGACTGATGTCCGAATTGGCTTTCACGACTACTCTTTCGCGCAAGATCTTTTATTTATAGACGCGTATTTTTAATGAGGAAAAAATAGGCGGCGATTCTCTCTCGAGAAATTGGTCAGCGTAACACTTACGCGCGAAAACGCGATTTACTTTTACATTTTATTATGCAAGATACATCTTTAACATACACAATATATATTAATATATTCCCAAGGAATACATAAAAGTCAATAACAAATCAAAATGATTTTATTTTGATTCTTAACGTCAAATTTTAAAAAAAAATCATTATTTCCCCAAAAACACACAAAGTCACAACAAAAAATTAATATAATTTTATTTTACTTCTTAATATCAGTAAACAATTAAATTTTGTAACCGAAAATTATTATTTTGACTTTCATGACGTCAAAATAAAATCATTTTGACTTTCTCTTGACTCGATGTGTTCCTTGAGTTATTGAATTCAATATTAATATTTTATTCATATATGTAGAAAAAATTAATATAAACAAGCAATATAATTTTGGAGCGTATTCTTCCATTTAAACACTAAAATCCCAATTAAAGTAAGAACCTCGATCATTGACGAAAAATAAAAAATTTTTTTCGCAAAAATTACGATAATTATTTAAGAATAGATTAATTGTAAGTAATCATCTCTATTTTTCGAAAGCAAAAATTTTATTTCGCTTAATTACAATGTTCGCTCTCTCTTCGTAATAAATAATAATGACGAACTTAACTGTACACGCCTAAATTCCACGGATTATTCCGGAGATATTCGCGCCTCGCACCGTTCGATGCGACTCCCCGTTGAAGTCAATACTGTACCGCTATATTTAATCGTACTCGACGCGTAACGAAACACGAAGCCTCGTATGGCTCCAAGGTACCGTAATGTCGATTAGGTAGTTGCAGCACGCAACGCGCCCGGGTCGATCCCCGGATTAAATCCCCGAAAGCGTCGCTGCCGTTAACTTCGGCGTGGCGTCGCGTCGCGCCGGAGATACGAATTCCGATCACCTGGCTCAAACCTATGGAATTTCACGCGTCAAGGCAACGATCGGTCGATGTCTCATCGGGAAGACGCGTGACGCGAAATCAACGAAAAAAAAAGAAAGAAGAAAGGAAGAAACTATACTAGTATGACGCGAACGCGCTCGAATCCGCGATTCGCGGCGTCGCGATAAAATGGCGAGACTCGCGGAAGAGTAGAGATCTCGACGGAGTTTCTTCGCGCACTTCGAACATTATTTCGGATTTAAGTCGAACACGTCGCGACTGTCCAAATACAAAAAGAAGCTGAGCGACTTCAATTGATAATTCTGAATTTTTACACGGAAAGAATACTTTGTTGAATTATCTAAACAACAACTTTTATAGCTAGATATAGATCTGAAAATAATTTTGTTGAATCGTTAAAAGAATTATGTAGGATGGTGTTAAACTGATTGTCAGAGAATGTCAAAACTTTTTGTAGCATTTCTCATGCTTGATATTCCTATGTGATCATTTTGGTGGTCTAACAATTTTTTTTTAGATCTGCATCTAAATTTTTAGATACTTCGGCAAAATCATTTTTTCGTGTAGAAGTCAGATGGAATTGTCGATCAGGTGGAATTAGACTTCGTTAATAAGCGAAATCTCATACAACACAGTTCTCCAAGGAGCGCCCTGAGAAAGTCCTTAGGATATCCTCTCTGGACAGTTTAAAGACATCTCTCTCCAAAGAGTGTCTAAAATATTAGAACGTCTTTAATGTTGACGCCAGCTAAACTTCTAATGAAAGTTGTCCATAACAAACTAGGCCTGTTCTCTTTAAATGAACTTCTTGCACAGTTAACCTTTTCTCTTTTCTTCTCCAACGTGGAGAGAAAAGAAGAAAAAGAGTGAACTGTGCAAGAAGTTCAGCTGAAAAATAGAGGCCAGTTATTGTCTGTTATTCGTATTCGCTCCAATTATTTCCTCGACACTTTTTCATGTATCTTAATGATCTATTCAGCTGTTTCTAGTGAACCACTAACTATATATACTCCGATACACATGCGCTTTAATTATCGGATTACGGACAACCGTTTTTCGCAGGAGAATGCGCGACTTTTTAAGCAGACTATTCTTGCGGCAATATCGAAGATAAGAAGAAATAATTGACGTAACATTGCAATATTTACGTAACGAAACCGAACGATCTTCGTGGCGGTGGTGATGACCCCCTATCCCCTCTTCATTTACGAAAGAGCGTATTCTCCTTTAATCGGAGAGAGAATCCTTGGATGATATTCATAGTCCATTCCTTTAAGACTGTCTTAAGTATAAATGTCTTAAGATAATATTATACAGCCCTCTAATTGATTTATGACAGCTTAAGATTGTTTTAAAATAATCTCAAATATAAGAATTGACTATGAATATCGGCACTAGTTCACAACATCTTAAGATTGTACTTAAGACGGTCTTAAATATAAAAACCAACTTCAAGCATCAAAATTATTAAAATTGTTTGTCAATTTAATTCGCGAAATTACTACAGTAGTTTAATTGCGTTTATAGTCCGGAAAAACAATTCGGCGCGCAATTCGAGAGATTACAAATATGTATATATATTATACAAGTACATATATAGTATATATAGTAATTCAAGACTGAATTATTTAAGCAATAAAGATCCAGCTTCGATCGTTATAGGCATTTTTAATTTCTAGTATAAAAACCAACTGATGAATACCGGCCCGTGACACATTCCTAGATAGAATAGAACGACGAAATCTGACTCACGAGTGGCGCTCTTCTATTCCGTGTCTCCACCGACGATTTCGCAACGTTCTCCACGTAGTAGATGCTTCATGCCGTTTGTCCATTATCTCACCGCGGGGCACGGGATTGCGTCCGAGCTTGCCATCTGTTTCGCGCGCGTGCACATACGATATACGCGTCTCCCTAGGGCGAGACGATTACGACCGATTTCGTAATGATGAGGCCCGATCTCGTGTACCGATAATGAGAAAAAGGGATCCGACCTGGATCTCGCGCAGGTCGCGGATCTAACGGTGAGAGCCTCCACGGAGGTGAAAGAAACGTCACACGACCGACTCTGCCTTTAGCGAACGAGCGAGCGAACGAGCGAACGAACGAACGAATGAACGAACGAACGCCCGGTCGCC